CATCCACATATGGTGGAACATGAAATACAGCTGGGACTAGGACTTGAAATAGCTGCTTCAGACAGGACGTTGCTATCCCCAGGAAGAGAGGAGCAGGCATCACCCCCAGAGCAGGGCTGGTGTACAAGCAACAGGGAGTTTGCCCAGAGCAGGGGGATGTTCCTTGCTGCTCTTCAAAGCTGGCTCTGCACTGCTTGTAGCATCCACATATGGTGGAACATGAAATACAGCTGGGACTAGGACTTGAAATAGCTGCTTCAGACAGGACGTTGCTATCCCCAGGAAGAGAGGAGCAGGCATCACCCCCAGAGCAGAGCTGGTGTACAAGCAACAGGGAGTTTGCCAAATCTCTTTTGCAAACTCAGGTGGCACTAGTTAGCAGGGATTTTAAAGGCCAAAACATATCCAAAGCAATACAGCAGCACACAGGATCACACCAGGGCTGGCCAGGCACTTTTCTTGCTGGAGTCCCAGTACACCAGCTGGAACCAGGATGCTCTCCCAACACCCCTTTCCACTGACGTCCTACCAGAACCCCTGCTGCCAACCTGGCACCCAGCCCACAGTTAGTTCTTGCACACATCTAACCCAGCCAAAAACCACAGAAAGCTCTGAAAGGCAAAGTTCTAGCTGTTTCTACAGTTCACTAACGCTTACCCACACTCCTCCCGCAGACCACAACTCTGCATGGGTGGCTGTCGTGAGGAAATGCTGCCAGAAGGCTCCAGCGCTGTGGGGCAGCTTGAGCTTCAGCCAAGCAAAATAATGGAAGCCCCAAAGCTGCTGGGGCACCTTAGAAGCCTGTTTCTGATTTGCAGGCAATTTGTTCCCTCGACAGGTTCATCTCATTACTGGGTTTCCATTTAGCAGGAGTTTTATCGCCTGTAACATTTGTGCATAACAGATTCACCCAATTAGAATGTTATTTCCTTTAACAGCTCGGATAGTCACATTTCAGTGTTTGCTGGAGCGTGTTTTCTTTTCCTCGAGTAAGTTTAGTCCTTCACCAACCACTCGTTTCAAGGCTCGCGAACCAAGCGCGGACGGCAGCCCCTGCCCTTCCCCATCATCGGGCGTCTCTGCCCTCTCCCCGCCGCCCTCCCAGCCGGGGCCGCGGCCGGTCC